TCCGCACGTTGTCGCCCGTTGCCGCTTGGGGGGTGCGGCGAGGATTCGCCAGGTTGCCGCCCGTTGCCGCAACGCGTTGGGAGGCCCGCCGAAGATTCGCCACGTGTCCGCCCGTTGCCACCTCGTTCTCGAAAAGGGGGTCCGCCGAAGATCCCCCACGCTGCCGCCAATTGCTGCGCGCTGCCGCCCGTTGCCGACTCGTTGCCGCGTGGGGGGTCCCACGATGTTTCCCCACGCTGCCGCCCGTGGCCGCCTGCTTCCACCCGATGGCGCATCACCACATAGCTTACACCACACCGCTTGCACCACGCAGCTTGCACAGCGTAGATTGCACCACCTAGCTTGCACCACCTAGCTTGCACCCCTTGCAACACATGACTTGCACCGCGTAGCTTTCACACCCGCGGTTCCATATCTTGCTGTTTGGGGACCCCGCTAGCTAACATGCTGTTGTTTTACAACTCTGCCGCAGGATGCCTTGCTGGCAACACCCGCGCGCATGTCAAACATGTGCAGCATCCGACACGTCCCCTCGAGTTCTTTTAAGCAGATGTCATGCGGGTCACCCGCGCGCGTATCCGCACGCGCCCGTCAAAGTCCGTTCAACACCATCAGCTCCGAACACATTCAGCGCAAGCGTGCTCAAACTGATGCAAAAAGTCATTGACAGGTCAATGAAAGCATTGGCTTCTGCTGACGCGCATTTACCTACCACCCTCACCAGATCAATCGGTCGCAGCATCGTCCACGCCATCATTGCCGTCGACGCCGTCGTCATCACCACCGTCGTCGTCATAATCACCGCCGGCATGATCATCATCATCACCATCATCATCATCATCATCAGCAGCAGCAGCAGCATCAGCATCAGCATCAGCATCAACATCATCACCATCATCATGATCAGTATCATCATCATCGTCGAGGCGGTGGTCCTCGATGAATTTCTGTGCGCGCGCACTTCCTCCTCCTCCTCCTCATCATCATCACCATCACCATCACCATCGTTATGAATCAAGAATCTAGCCAACTAAATGGCTGCCACCGTCATTGTAATCACCGTCATACCCGTCACCATCACCACCGTCGTCGTCGATATCGCCCCCACCGTCGTCATTCATAACATCGTTCGCTGCCGCCGTCAAGTAGAAATGTGCAAACACATTGTGGGCTTCTGGGACGAATGTTGGCATGAACGCTGGATATGATCACGCGCGGATGCGGGAAGCATTCGTTACGCCCCATAAAATGCAACACGTGAATTGAAATGCATGAGCCCCTTTAGCTGAGCAGGAAAACTGTCGAGGCTGGGCGGATCCCCTAAATTCCGTGTGTTGTGTTCATGTATGCAGTGCGCACGGTCTCTAGCTGGAAAGATCAAGGGGAACATTGTCAGCCGACACGTTGCCGATCCCCCCCCTCACTCAAGCCAAATAACGTAATGCGGTGCCCATGCGTTGATGTGACAGGCGCTCTGTCAAACACCCTTTCAAATAACGCAATGCGGGCCACACGCGCGAGCCCCCGCAAACACATACCAAAACAAATCAAACAATCCGTGAGTGCTGGGCTTCAACGCGTAGCCCGGTTGTCCCGCAGCAGTGCCGAACCATTGGCGTCTTCAACACACTGACGTGTCTGCACGCGCGAAGTCATTCCACTCAAAGAAAATTCACAACGCGCTTGTCTGTCATTCTGCCTGGTGATACCATGCGGACCACACGCGCTCGCATGTCGACACCTTCCAGCAATCATCGCGCACAAATAAGCATGTGATTTAGAGCAATGCTGTCCAGACGATCGCGTCTTGTGCGCACATGAAACATCTCACAATCTGTGAAACCCAAGCGGCATCCCATGTAAAACATGCCAAGCAAACTGCTCTTTCTTATAACCGTCATCAACGCTACCACTGTCTTCATAAACACCAGGTCCATCACTAATACCGTTGCCATCATCATCTGCATCACCATCACCATCGTTCACGTTATACTCCCGACCGTCGTCGCCAACACCACCAGCATAATCTTCGTTGCCGTCGGCCTCAATTCCATTGCTACCCCCATCAGCACAATCATCACATTCGCCGGCATCACCAGCATCTGCATCACCATCGCCAACGTTGTCGCCAACATTCCACAATCGTCACCAGCAGGTACGGTCGTCATCGTCAACGCAATCGTGGCCCACCACCGTCATCGTGATTGTCGACCTTGCCATCGTTGCAATCATCGTTGACGCCATCGCCGTCAACGCCACCATCATCATCCGCGTTCGCCCGCCCGAGCCAAGGATGTACCTGAGAAGGGTCCTCACGTCACTACGGCAGGCCGAATCTTGCCAAGAGGCTTCGGGTGGATGGGTTGAATGTTCGCAAGAGCATTGGAGGTGGCCCCGCGCGGATGCTAGCAAGCTGAACTGCACCCCGAAAGTTGCACCACACAGATGTCGCCCCATACAATGTGCAGCATCTATTGCGTACCATGCGTCGTTTTTGCGCGACGACCAAGCTGTACCCCGCCCTCCCCCTCCCACCACCCCTGCAGACCGAGGTTGCTGGCCCGCCCTCGTGCACTCTTTTTGTTCAATACTTCTGACCGATTGTTACCTCAAATTGTGGATTCACATCATCCCAACAAGTCCCTGTATTGGCACGTCCCTCCTCACCCGTGGCATGCCATGCGAATGCACAGGCATGTGCATTGATACCCTATCACGTAGCACCATGCGGGCAACACGCGCGCACACATAAGTCACGGCAAACCGATTGTGCTATGATGGAACTCATCCATGTCATCTCTTTCGCCAATATGAGAAGAACCTCATGGGCTTGGTTTGGCCGTTATGGAGTCAGACCACGCGGGCCAAATGCACGCGCATGTCGAAGTCCTTCAACATTCACCGCGCACCCACAACCTCTACCAACTAATACAATAGTAGCGTTAGAACGGCTACGTCTGGTGGTCGAGCGATTGTCAGTGGAAGAAGGGTTCGAAGGCAAGTGGTAGAACCAATCCCCTAAGTGTCAGAACGGGTATGTTTCCCTAGGCGGCCCAAGACGCCCCCAAGACGGCACCCGACCCCAAGAGGGCCCAAAGAGGGGCCCAAGAGAGGCCAAAGAGTTGTCCCAGAGAGGGGACACGAATCGACACTTCGAGCCCTTCGCTCCAAGATGAACCCCGAGTCCGCCAGCGGCCCCAAGAAGCCGCAGGAGGCCCCGAGGAGGCCCAAATCAGGCACCAAGAGGCCCCCAAGAGGCCCCCGATAGGCCCCCAGTACACACACACACACACACGCACACACACACACACACACACACACACACGCACACACACACACACACACGCACACACACAAAAAAAAAACGCTTGCAGGAAGCTTTCGAAAGGCCGACTAAAGAGATATCCACAGGCATACAGGAGGCCTCATTTCTACAATTAGGACAAGGGGGCTGGGAGGCCAGCGCCGATCCAAGAAATATGCGTGGACCTCCAACAGTTCATGCTTACGGCAAGTTCGCGTCGTGTCGACCCCTGCTGTGGTTCCTGACACCGCGGGGGATTGTTCAACCTTGAACGAAAGGAGAGGCCGTTTCCGAAACGTCAGATCATTCCCCATCGACCGATTGTGGGACGCCGGCGGCGTCCGCGGGCGGCGAGGTCGCCGCTGGTCGACACGACGCGAAGCTACCATCTAACGTGGTCGGAGGATCACGCCGCATCGGCACTGCATCGCCGATGCGTGCCGCCATTGCATCGGCGATGCATCAGCGACGTCGACGACGCATCGTCGCCATGGGCGTGAGAAATAATGGCTCCACATCGAGCCGCATCATGGATGCATCGGCGATGCGGAGCGATCCTCCGACCCCATCACCTAGGACCCTATATGGGAGTCTCAGGTGGTAGAAAAAACAACAACTGCATAAACATTAACTTGTGGCGTTCCGCGCGGATTTCTTGGATCTGCGCTGGGCCACCCTTCCCTGGCGCACGGAGTGCGCCAGGGGCGGCGCCGGAGGCGCCGCCAGGTAGACCACAGCGCGGATCCCAGCAATCCGAGCGGAGCGCCAACAGTTTATGTTTATGCCGTTTTCTCTTCTTCGGCTATGAGGCCCAGGAGTGGCGGCGGAAGGACGAGGGAGGACGGAGTGGCGGGGCTGCTCCCAGCCAGACAGATGGTCTCGGCGGCGGGGCTCAACGCGCCTGGCGCGTTGGGCACTCTCAGCTTCTCGACTAAGCGTCGGGTGGGGTCGCCCCCGCCGGCAGCCCCACGTCGACCCCGTCGCGGGTAACCACCGCGCGCCGAAGGCGCTCCGACCCCCGTCGCGGCGCGACAACGAGGCGAAGTGGACCCCACCCACGCTTATTTGAGCAGGGACCGACCGCCCTGGCATTTCTATAGGTCTACTACGAAATGTTCATAGAACCCAAGAATGTTCTAAGAACGAAACAATTTTCTTAGAACATGAAACCAATGCGTTAGAACAAGACGGTCCCGGCTAAAAATGTTCTGAGAACATTCCATAGAACCACAACTCAGGGGGAAGGGCATCGAGCTGGAATCGGCGATAGATTGCTGCTAGATCGGCGATGGGCCCCCAAAAAAGCGAATTCGCACGCTTCTGGGCGTGGTGGGCTATCGGGACCCTGTCGCCGATGATTGGGCGATTGGGGGCCGATGCGTCCCCCACCCGAGCCCAGCCTCCCCTGACGTCACCACCGGCTATACATAAAAAGGATAGCAAATGGTTGCCACCGAGTCTACAGGGGATGGACGAGGGATTGCCCCGTGAGCGATAGACTCTGCCTTTGCCAGCCGCGGCGCCCAGCTTGATAAATTCATCACTGAACCGTTTCCGCTCGACGACTTCCAAAAACCAAGAGTTGGACGCCGACTGAGCGACAGAAGTAGAGAAGGGTGGTAAGGGATGAGGATGATAACGAGATTACGAGGGATAGGAGCAATGGCAGAGGATGGCCACGTGCAATGTCCGCTGATCAGTGCAACTCCATGGTGCCATCCGATCCAGACCCCCTGACGATGCCAATCGCGGACATGAACTTCGAGGCGTCGCGACCCCCTTTCTTCTTTTTCTGCACGAACGCGTCGTAAGTCGACGACACGTCTTTCTCCTTCGTCATGAGCTCGAACTCCTGCATCCGTTCCTCGTCGATGGTGTCGAAGATGTCGAACTTCGTGATGCACCGCACGCCACGCGTGCTGTCGGACCCAAGACCCTTGCGCTCGGGCTCCACAGGCACGCATGCCAGCTCGCCCCCGCATGAGGCCCCGGAGCTACAGGATGCCGCCAGCGACCAGTTCCTCCTCTTGGGCGTTGCAAGCAATGGTAAAAAAGGGCCCTGGGACACACAAGTATATACACACAAATAACCGGACTCCTTATATTTTCCAATGTGCTCTAAGTGTTCGTCTCCCCCCCTTCCCATATCTTCCCATAGTTTCTGGGGAATCGACGATTCATTGTGTCAGTGTGTTTTCCCGTGTGAGAAATAGGGTGGCGAAGAAACGTGGACCTTTCGTGCCCCTTGCGAACCAGGGAAAGCACCATGTACGCCCCCGAAGGTGCACGGCAAGCACACCACCCTTCACCACCCCATTCATCGAGAGGCACCCCTGGTGGGTTCCGAAAAGATGAGGTCGGAGGATCGCGCCGCACCTCCGATGCATCGCCGGTGCAAGTGCGATGCGTCTGCGATGCATCGGCGACGGCGGCGACGCATCGGCGCCGCGGGCTTGAAGAAACTCGGGTTCCACATCAAGCCGCCTCGCCGATGTACTGGCGATGCGGCGCGACCCTCTGGGCCCGTCTGCTCGGACCCCATCTGGGCGGCCTGGACGATCGAGGAGGAAGACGAGGAGGAGGAGGAGGAGGAGGCGGCGGCGGCGGCGGCGGCAGAGGAGGAAGAGGAGGAAGAGGAGGAGGAGGACAGGACAGGACAGACGATGGTGCCGTGCGCGCGACTAGCAAAACCCCCTGCGACTATGTTGTGCCGCAGCCCAGACTTCTCATAAGTGGCCGGCTGAGGGCATACCCCGAATTTCCGAGGGGCGAGCTGCGAGGTGGCCTCGTAAGAGAGGCTCTTTACCTTGTGAATACGAGTCCATGCGGGTCAGTGCGGGGGGGGAACTGTTGGCCCTCTCGTGTGCCCAAGACAGTGGAGACGCGCTGGGCGAGCAGGGCTCCCAAGCGAGGGGGGGAAACGACGACGACACGACCACTCAACAAGGAGAAGAGGAGGGAGAACGGGAGGCCCTTGCATCCCAAACTTTGCTGGGGGGACTTAACATCCTGCCTACGACCAGCTGCTTTTCATTTATACCCTAGTCTCTCTCTCTCTCGAGGCTCTCTTCTCCTCCTGACCGTGTTGGCCGTTGGTTATCCCATGCACTGTCGTATCTGTACCCTGATACTGCAGAAGTATCTCACAGCACCCCCTCAGTGCGTAGGATGAGGAGGACGAGGAGGAGGAGGAGGAGGAGGAGGAGGAGGAGGAGGGGGAGAAGGAGGAGGAGAAGGAGGAGGAAGATCAAGGGGACGTAAGACCTGGGTACAGGGGACTCGGAAATCCCCGACGAGGTCGTCAAAAAAATGACGAGGCCGAGCCTGCATTTTGACGAGGCCTCCCGCTGCAGACATCCCACGAAACTCCTCCTCGTCAAAATCCGAGGCGCGGTCGTCAAAAAACGATGGCGAACCCGAGTCCCGGTAAACCCGGGTCTTACGCTCCCCCGAGAAGAGACGAGGAGGAGGAGGAGACGAGGAGGAGGAGGAGGAGGAGGAGGCAGCGGCGGCGGCGGAGGAAGAGGGGGGGGAGCAGGAGGGGGAGGAGGAGCAGAGAGAGGAGGGGGAGGAGGGGGAGGAGGAAGGGGAGGAGTCGGAGTCGGAGTCGGAGTCGGAGTCGGAGTCGGAGTCGGAGGAGGAGAAGGGACAGGAAGCCCCACCATTCCACTGCGCCGCGCCCGATCCTCATGAACTGCCTCAGCGCCTGCGCCGTCTCGTCGTCGAGGCCGCCCGTGTCCGGCCCGGGTCCGCGGCGGAGCGGGGTCCGCGGGCCCGTGCCGCGGCGCTGGGGCGTGGGAGGGCGGTGCTCCCTCGCCCTCCCCCTCCGTCCTCCCGCTTCTTTGTCCTCCCTCTGCCTGTCCTCGTCCTCACTCCCTCCCTCCTCCCTCCGTCCTCCCTCCGTCCTCCCTGCCTCCTCCCTGCCTCCCTCCTCCCTCCCTCCTCCCTACTGCCTCCCTCGTCCTGCCTCCCTCCAGCTGCTTTTCCTGGCGCATCCCTCCTGCCTCCTCCTCCGTCCTCCCTCTTCTTGTCCTCAAGAACCGCCCTCGGGCATTCCGAGAGTGCACGCGTCGTTCGGAAGAAGTAGGTCAAAACACGAGCAGGAAGGCGGAGAGAGTGGATGGGGCTCGGGTCCTCCCAGAGAACAACCAGACACAGCAAAAACAGATCGTCTCTTGACGTGGGAAAGAGCTGACCTTAGATTTGGATCAAACAATCCAAACATTATTTCTTTTAACGACCGGCGTGTGCTGGCTTAGCCCGGCATGTCCCTGGCGTCGTGCCTTGCACCTCCATGCGGTGCTTGAGGGACATCGCGGCTGGTCGGCACGTCTTGCATGGGCGACCTTTTCGCGGTCAAGAAGTTCGGCAAATAGTCCGGTTATGCTTCGCTGTGCGCATGGTGCTATCGTAAGGTCTCTTTTGAGTTCATTCCCTTCACGGTCATATTCGTCAAGGTCCACTCGAAGCTGGACGTCGTCAGGGCTTCCACGGGCTCCGAGCCCAATCCTATTCCCTCCTAGTCGCATGGCCGTGCTTCGACGTGCTGGCCCGATGGAATGATTAAACCTTCGCACGCATGCTGTTGCTTGATCGTGGTCGATATTGTGAAAACTCTGGTGATGGGCTACCGTGCCACTGTGCAACTTCCGTGTCCACGGCCGTACTTGTTATCACGTGTTGTTGTTCGATCGTGGTCAGCTCTGGTGATGGGCTACGGTACTGCTGTACAACTTCCATATCCGCGGCCGTATGTATTATCACACGTTGCTGTCCGATCGTGGTCAGCTTTGGTGAGAACTCTGGTGACCGGCTACCGTGTCGCGATGACACTTCCATACTCATGCTTGTACTTTTAGGATGGACATGTCCTCCTACAAGAGAATGTTCGACGATAACTAAAAAATGACCTAAACATGCTCAAAATCGGTTCAACATGTATCGAACATCTTCCCCAGACTATGTCTGGCTATTAGTGAAATGTTCCTTATGTAAAAAAGGACATGTCAGACGTAAACATACTTGCTCTGACATGTTGCTGTTTGATCGGCGTGCTGCCGCTCTGGATCTTCCATCGTCTTGGCCAAAGTGTGGGTAGGCATGTGCTCTTAGTCTTCCAGCCTCCCTCCTCCTCCCC